AAATGATTTTTACGATGAAATCTTTCTTAACTAGTATATATTAATATTCATTTCCTAACCGGATTTGATTCACGCTGGATTATATTTTGATTTACCTAATTCACTTTACTTGATTTACTTCATTTGTTGTATAGAATAGCTAATTACCTCCCATCTATCCAGGTCGAGCATAATTTATTGCATGTTTACTGCTTTTTTTCATTTATTTTCTTTTTGAAAATGGCTTCTTAGAATGTGGTGGTTCCTCTCATGTCAAGCTTGTGTGCCTTCATTCTCCCAATCGTCATCCTTCCATCAACATAACAGGCCCAGAATCAAATAGAAATGCATCCATTGGATCAGACTTTAATCTCCGTAAACGATTCTGCGATGTGAACGTCGGGCGTTTATGTTTTGCTGCTCCTACATCTATCCAAGCACTCCTTGAGACGAAGGTGATTGAACTAGACAATATAGTAGAGCAGCTGAACGACGGAGGGTTTGAAAAGTATGCTGTTTCTCAGACAGATTGTGTTGGTAATAGTAAAGATGAAGCAAACTTTGACCAAGGAAAATCTTCGAAGATTGATGAATTAATTAGTAACGAGAAATCCACTACAGTTTCATTTGCCAAAGGTATTCATAGAGAGACAACTGGTATCTCTCTGAATTCTTTATTGGCTTCAAACTCATCTTCAGAGCTGGCTCAGCTGCCTATCTCGTCTTCAATGAGTAATAATATCGAGGTACAAGAAACTTCTATAGAACGCTTTTCAACATCAAATGACAATGGTAAAACAGTCTATTTCACATTTATTGTATAATTATTCTTACTTGAATGCTTATTATTGGCTTTATTTACTAGTATTTATTATTGGTTTGACAATTATAATCTACTAATTTTCATTGATTAAACGATCGTGAATTGCCTTTTAATTGATTCCCGTAAACTTGCTATTATTTATTATTTGACGATCTAAGTCCTTTACTACTCTTTTTTTGATACCATTCATTATCCGCTAATTCTAGCCTTTCATATCTGGGATTGGTCCTAAGTCATCTATTCTAGCATTTAGCAGACTTTGAGAAGGTAGTCTATGCGTGTGGAGTAGATTGTTCTGTAGAGGTACCAGATGGGATCAGGAATTTATGCAGACGGG